AACTCTAGACGTAATAAACGGAAATTGCTGAAATTCAATAGCCTTTTTCGTTTCAGTAATCTAAATAATGCATATAAATTTCACAAAGATTGGGTGATAACTTTTGGCGTTGGAGCGTTCACAAGGTTTGAAATAAAGTGAAACAAGGGCCATAACTCTAGACGTAATAAATGGAAATTGCTGAAATTCAATAGACTTCTAAGTTTCACTAATTTAAATCATGCATATAAATTTCACAAAGATTGGGTGATAACTTTTGGCGTTAACAGCGTTCACAAGGTGCAGTAAAGTGAAACAAGGGCCATAACTCTAGATGTAGTGAACAGAAATTGCTAAAATTCAATAGGCTTCTTCATTTCACTAATTCAAATAATGGATATAAATATTAGAAAGATCGGATGATAACTTTTGGAGTTAAAGCGTTCACAAGGTTCAATAAAGTGAAACAAGGGCCATAACTCTAGACGTAATAAACAGAAATTGTTGAAATTCAATAGGCTTCTTCGTTTCACTAACTTAAATATTGCATATAAATTTCACAAAGATCAGATGTTAACTTTTGGCATTAAAGCGTTCACAAGGTTCAACAAAGTGAAACAAGGGCCATAACTCTAGACGTAATAAAAGGAAATTATTGAAATTAAATAGGCTTCTTCATCTCACTAATGTAAACAACATATATCAATTTTAAAACAACTGGATGATAACTTTTGGCGTTAGAGCGTTCACAAGAAATTGTGGACGATGGACCGACAGATGGATGGACGGGGGCGTATAAAAATGCTTGAGACTCAAATCGCTGGTAAATGAATTATGAAAGAAATGTTATTGGAATATAGGCAAAAAGGTTTTTTCTAACGAATAGGAAAATAGTCTTAATGTGGTATTTTGGGCCGGCCGCGGTGGTAGCGTGATAAAAATATTTGCGACTTGCTAACCGAGACTAAGGAGGAGTAACTCTTGGCAACAAAGATGACTTCACTTCGAAGATTTCGTTTAACATTGGGTGAGTTTTTAGCCTTTATTACTTTATTTGCAGATCGTTATCACAATTCTGTAGTTAGTTCTTGTTCAGACAATTGCAGTTCGTGCTTACATGATCAAAAATACCCAATAAAAGAATGCGATATCTAGGGTTTTATCGGTTGCTATGTATACCGTCCTCACGTGTTGTTTGTCAATTTTGGCATAGAATTCCAGTTTACTAGGCCTAGTTCTGCTACTATTTTTGACTCCCTCATTATATTTTCAAGCGATTTCTTGTAACTAATGACTTATTGTTAGGTAGATCATGCTAGTCAGAATTTGATCAAAGCATGATTTAAAACAAATTCCACCTGATTAAGTAACCAGCGGCTGCCAGGCAGAATACGCCCACATTTTCGGGAGATCGAACAAGCTAAAAAGAAAGTGATTTTTCCTACAATCAAGGGCCATAATTCATGAAGTTACAATCGGATGCACAAATATCGAAAGGAACCAAGATCTTTGGGTTATAAACATGCATTTCAAGTTTCATCAAAATCGGATTAAATTGTAACCTCTACCAACAACCTTGATATACCATATTTTTACACCTTTCGCGTAGAAACGGCGGCCATTTTGTCTGGCAGTTTTGGTTTGATTTTCAGGAAATTTGAACTCAACCTTTATTATGGTGTTACGGTGATATATTCAAACAGTTTTTTAAAATCAGATAATGACTGTGACCTTCAGAGGGACTACATGCTAAAAAAGACAATTTTTCGTATAATCAGGGGCCATAATTCAGGAAGTTACGATCCGATATGCGACGATATCGAAAGGAACCAAGATCTTTAGGTGATAAATATGCATTTCAAGTTTCATCAAAATCAAATTAAAACTGCGACCTCTACAGGGTCCACATACTTGATTTACCATATTTTTACACTATTCGAGTACAAACGGCGGCCATTTTGTCCGGCAATTTTGATCCGATTTTCACGAAATTCAAACTCAACCTTCCATAGGGTGTAACAGTGATATAATAAAACGATTTTTTAAATCGGATAAAAGTTATGACCTCTATAGGGTCCACAAGCTAAATACAGGATTTTTCGTACAATCAGGGGCCATAATTCAGGAACTTACGGTCCGATATGCACGAATATCGAAAGGAACTGAGATCTTTGAGTTATAAAGTTACATTTCAAGTTTCATCAAAATCGAATTAAAACTGCGACCTCTATAGGGTCCACAACCTTGATATACCATATTTTTACAAGCGGCGGCCATTTTGTCCGGCAATTTTGGGCCGATTTTCACTAAATTCAAACTCAACCTTCATTACGGTGTAACGGTGATATAATCAAACTTTTTTTTTTAATCGGATAATAATTGTGACCTCCAGAGGAACCACAAGCTAAAAAAAGCGATTTTGCGTACAATCAGGGGCCATAATTCATGAAGTTACTATCCAATATGCGCAAATATCGAAAGGAACCATGATCTTTAGGTTATAAACATGCATTTCAAGTTTCATCAAAATCGAATTAAAATTGTGACCTATACAGGGTCCACAACCTTGATTTACCATATTTTTACACTATTCGCGTACAAACGGCTGCCATTTTGTCAGGCAATTTTGGTCCGATTTTCACGAAATTCGAACTCAACCTTCCTTAGGGTGTAACAGTGATATAATAATACATTTTTTAAATCGGATAAAAATTATGACCTCTATAGGGTCCACAAGCTAAAAACGCGATTTTTCGTACATTCAGGGTCCATAATTCAGGAAGTTACAGTCCGATATGCACGAATATCGAAAGGAACTGAGATCTTTGGGTTATAAACATACATTTCAAGTTTCAACAAAATCGGATAAAAATTGTGACCTCTATAGGGGCAATAATCCATGAAGTTTCGATCCGATAGATGCCAATATCGAAAGCAGCCAAGATCTTTTGGGGTAAACCTATATTTCAAGTTTCGTCAAAATCGGACAAGAATTGTGACCTGTAGAGAGTCCACAAACAAATTGTGGACGGACGGACGGACTGACGGACAGAGCGACGACAATATACATCCACATGAAAATGTGAGCGTATAAAAATTGGTGAGTGAAGCTAGCTTACCAAATTCGAACTCAGCCATCCTTAGGGTGTAACGGTGATATAATAATACGTTTTTTTAAATCGGATTAAAATTATGACCTCTATAGGGTCCACAAGCTAAAAACGCGATTTTTCGTACAATCAGGGGCCATAATTCAGAAAGTTAGGGTCCGATATGCGCAAATATCGAAAGGAACCAAGATCTTTGGGTTATAAACTTACATTTCAAGTTTCAACAAAATCGGATAAAAATTGTGACCTCTACAGGGTCCACAAGCTAAAAACGTGATTTATCATACAAACAGGGGCCATAATCCATGAAGTTTCGATTCGATACATGCCAATATCGTACAATCAGGGGACATAATTCAGGAAGTTACGGTCCGATATGCGTGAATATCGAAAGGAACCGAGATCTTTGGGTTATAAACGTACATTTCAAGTTTCAACAAAATTGGATAAAAATTGTGACCTCTATAGTGTCCACAACCTTGATATACCATATTTTTACGCTATTTGAGATCGAAGGGCGGCCATTTTGTCTGTCAGTTTTGGGCAGATTTTCACGAAATTCGAACATAGCTGTCCTTAGGGTGTAAGAGTGATATAATAATACGTTTTTTTAAATCAGTTTCGTCAATATCGGATAAGAATTGTGACTTGTAGACAGGCATCGATATTTCCGCGTACATGCGCACGGAATGCGCAGGCACATTTGCTTTAAAAAAAACTTTTTTGCAGGCACAATTTTAAAGATGTAGCCACGCCGGGCGGCGCTATTTTTTTCCGCCCAGCACAAAGAAAAAATCGAAGGAAGCCGCCCAGTTGTATTTAAACCCCTTCGTCCTTCTCTGTACACAAACTCAGCGCTCGAAATTTACCACGGCAATTAAACGGCAAAGCCATGGTTAAAGCCGATGTACGCAAACCATGTCTGTCACGGCATAATTTATTTTTGTGTGCCGTAGTAGACCCTATCATACCAAATTAGTTTAAAGAAAGATGTATTGGTATTTTGTTTATTTATACTTAGAAGATGTGTAGGCCTAGGTTTATTCATTTTACAATTATTCTACGGTCTTTATATTTGTTTATTTGCCGTAAATAGGTCACCCAGACAAATTTACGGCACTCCAATGTTAAAGGTTTGAATGTCGTAATTGTCCTACACGTGCCTGCAAATTTTCACGATGTTTCTTATTTTATTTCTTACCTGTGTTGACCGTGGATTTGCTACGGGCCGAGAGTAGGACTAGGAGGACGATGAGAGCTTTCTCAGTTTCTGCCTGATCTGATTCTCATTCCACCGTAATAATAATAATATTCGTGAGACACGTACAACAACTTTACAAACAAGTCAAATAATACATGTTTTAATTATAAATATCTACCTGTTGTCATAATTCGTTGTACTCAAATAAAACACAAACACCGTTTTAAGAATTGTTTTAATTTTTAATCTCAAAGTAATAAAGAAATATTTGAAAAAAAAACACAACAAAACAACAAATACCGAAAGGTCCTCAACTTATCTATCCAGAGAAACAGAGTGGGGCGGGACAATTTTATGCTCGGTTGGGTGGTGTCAAAAAGTTTTTAGATCCCTGTATCATTGATGAAAATTAAGTGAATTTGGTAAAATTTGAATATATAAATGGAAATTTGATTTGCACTGAACCAAATACAAAAGGCAGCAGATGCTCTGAAAATACACCAAGAAGGGTTTAATTTTCATAAAAGACCACGCCCCCCTCCCAAAAATTTGTTTGCCTCGCACCACTCACCAAATCCTGGATACATCCCTGTGTTTCAGTATGACCCTGCAGGCACATTTTCAAGTGTGTGCGCAGGCACACTCAACTTTTATAGACCCCTGCAAAAGGGAAACCCGTAAAAACTCATATAGATATATTGAATAATTACCGGTTGTGTCATCATCATCTCTTGTAGTTTTTTCAACTTGCGCCAAATTAGCAGAATCAAATTTGGATGTGAAGAGCAAATTACCAAACCTAAACTCCATTTCAAAATAGTAATATCCTCTTTACATTCAGTATCTGAAACAAACATTTGTGAATTAGATAAAATTATGTACCAGTAAATAATCCGAACTAGAAGAGGTCCAGCAGTTAGCAAGCTAAATATATGAAGCAAGTTGACCATTAATTTGCTTACTGAAGTACTCTGATTTGCATTGTACTTTGCCAGGTGAATCCATACAGTACCATCTCTTATCTTGAAACACAGAGGGTTGAGAGATGAGGTTTTTTATCTAGTTGACCATACGAAAGAGTGCTTATGCGTAATCACTAGATGTAGTGGCCAGAACTGAAATCTGAATTACTGCACGCTGGATTTCTCTAGTTCTAGTCTCCGCCATTGGGCCTGCATATCAATCGGAGAAACCCTATATATCTGCAATATGAGAATACCGCTCTTCCCCACCTCTGTTCTTAGGCTATTTTGGAATTCTTACCTTCTATTTTTCAGTGTGATTCTTTATTTTTAGCTTAAAGGAATCATTTCTCGCTACATCTAATACAAATTTATATTAATTCAAAACTATTTTCAAGTAGAATATTGTGATTAAAAAAAAAATGCAGTCTGGGCATGTTTGTGTATGGTTGATAAGTTCAAAATCTACTTGAAAATAGTGTTGAATTATTATAAATTTATGTTAGATATGGCGAGAAATGATTCCTTTCAGTGAAAAATAAAGAATCACAGTGAAAAATAAAGAATCACGGTGAAAAATTGAAGGTAAGGATTCCAAAATAGCCTTAGAACAGAGGTGGGGAAGATCAGTATTTTCATATTGCAGCTATATAGGGACGGTCAGCGGACAGCTTCCAGTCAGAGAGTTCCTAAAGGAACCAGTGAAAATTACTCATTGATTCGAATACTTTATTTGGGAAATCTCTTCATTATACTACTATCAATGTTGTATTAAAATCTGATTAAAACTGCCTGTGTTGTAGATCGCAAAATGCTGATCAGCGGCTTCAAATCAGACAAATGTAAGATCGCTGTCACACTGTACAAGGCACCGTATCTTTCACCACCTAGCATTAAAAGGAGCTAAATCGCTAATATTTTCTCACTAAGACTAGTAAGATGTTCAGTTACATTGTTCAGGCGTTCACAGGGTCTAACACGCGACCATAGAGCAGTAAAACGTTGCCCAGTAAAATTGACTTTATTTTCGACAAGGATTCAATAGGACAGTTCCTGAATGTACAGGGCGAGTGTAATGAGACCTACGTTCAGAGCTGAACTAAAGGCGAGTGTAGTAATCTGAAGTAATGAGACCTACTGTCTGAACCATCGTAAATTTTAAACGAATTTCTTCTATTATGATCAAACTACTAACTTTGGTTATTATAAACTTACCTGTGTGTTTTTAAATCAACTGCCGTTAGTTAAAATCCATTGCACAATTTAATATCCCAACGAATAAAAAAGTTCTCTCTTGAAAAAATTTAATTCCCACAAACTTTTGACATGGAGAAATACCAAAATGGAAGCCGATTACGTCACTCTTCAGGAGAGATCATTTTGTATAAAGGGGTTACAAGATGTCACGGTTTGCAGTACTTTTACGACAATTCAAGTTTTGTGTAATCCCGGCTCGGTATTGAGATTAGGCGTTCATACATATAACTGCCCGTATTCCTTTATTTTGTTACTATCTTTAACATTCTAGTAAAATTTATAGCTTTTACCTATTGAAATATTTTGTTTTAATCATATTTTTGATTAGAGTCGGGTGAATGAATTTTCTTTTGAACACAAATATGACACAAAAAAATGACATTCGTTTTACGGGTCTTAAATTTTACTAATGAATATCTTTAATATCTTGCCAGGGGGGTAAAAGTATGATACATGTACGTTTCGGTAATCAATACCTTCTACAGTGAATAAATCCCACATCCCCACTCAGTCATAAACTTGCATGTTGTACTTGTAGAGCATTTCCGACAGTCTATTTTTCAAAATTTTCTTGGCGAGGTCCCAAATGGACTCGCTACTTTGGCACTAACAAGGGGAATTCACAAGTCTGTTTGTTTGGCATTTTGTTCTCTAGTCGGATAAACTAGTGATCAGGCGACGGACGGTATCTGGGCAGATCTATTTATCTCGACGATCAGTGCCTGACAGAATACTGTAAGACAGCATTTACAGCAGTCTATTTTTCAAAATTTTCTGGGGGAGGACTCCCTACTTTGACGCTCGTGAGTGGGCTTCATCGTGATTTGCAAGTCTGTTCGTTTGACACTTTACCTCATCGATCAGTGCCTGAAATACTGCCAGGCTGCATTTCCGGCAACCTGTTTTTCAAAATTTTCTGGGGGAGGCCCCCTACCCCTAGTTGAAGCTCGTGCCTTTGCCCCCTTAACCTTGGACTTTGCCCCTCCAATCACCGACGGCTGGCGCCGCCACTGGGTGGGGGCTATGGTGTGATTTAAGTATTATTTACAATAAAAAAAAAAATAAATAATTGATAAAAGAAAATATTTTCATCAGGCTGACCTTAAAAATATCTTTGTTTCACCAAACCCGACCCACAATCGAGGAGAAGGGTCGGTAGGTCGGGTTTTTTTTCAGATTTTTTTTTAAAGTCAGAGAAATCAATACAGAAAACTTATTAGCTGTATACTACAGATTCATTAATTTTGTTTAATGAATTTGGGGTCTGACGTAAAAAGTAACGAACTGAAAGTTTTTATTAAACTTAAGAGCTAATTTGACAGCTTAATAATTTTCCGGGTGGAAACATTCGTCTTCTTTATTGGCAAACAAATCAATGACATCGGGATTTTTCGTGATGCCCGACTCGCACACGATTAGCCACGAACTTGAAGTGTGAAACTCCTTCAACACGTTTTTAACGATAGTGCGCGTTGTGCTTTCATTTTTCTCGAATCAAACCATAGCCATAGTATAGGGAAATAACTCTCATGATATATTTCAGGTTGACACACAAAATAAAATAAAAAGATCGTGGAAAAGTGCAATAAAATAATTTAAGTCGGGGGTGGTTTTAGTTAGTCGGTCGCGTTAGGCGAAACAAAGATATTTTTAAGGTCAGCCTCATGAACAATAAATATTGCACCATATCACAATACTGTCAAAACTGTAATCAGTTGATTTTTTTCGCTCCCCAAACTCAAACGATCGAAATGATTGCAACACGTGGTTGTCAAAATCTGTGTCATACCCTGCAACAGATTCAATAGTTTCGCCCAACACGGGAGGAAAGCCATGTTGTCTTGAACTCCGTCAAAAATACATAAATAAAATACGTCCATTTTTTCAAGAGAACTTTAAATTGTGCAATGGATTTTATTTAACGGGGGTTGATTTCAAACACACAGGTAAGTTTACAATAACCAAAGATAAGTAGTTTGATCATAATTCTAGAAATCCGTTTAAAATTTACGATGGTTCAGACAGTACGTTCAGAGAGCTAAACTTATATAAGCCAGAATCTGTCATCTTCATCTACAACTCACACCTTACCATGATTATGTTTTTTCCGTCATTTACCTGTGTGATATGGAGAAAAAAACCCCGCATATTTAAGTGTAATTTAATCTACACATGCTGTATGAAAATATTTTCATCATGAACAATAAATATTGCACCATATCACAATACTGTCAAAACTGTAATCAGTTGATATTTTTCGTTGCCCAAACTCAAACGATCGAAATGATTGCAACACGTGGTTGTCAAAATCTGTGTCATACCCTGCAACAGATTCAATGGTTTCGCCCAACACGGGAGGAAAGCCATGTTGTCTTGAACTCCGTCAAAAATACATAAATAAAATACGTCCATTTTTTCAAGAGAGAACTTTAAATTGTGCAATGGATTTTATTTAACGGGGGTTGATTTCAAACACACAGGTAAGTTTATAATAACCAAAGATAAGTAGTTTGATCATAATCGAAGAAATCTGTTTAAAATTTACGATGGTTCAGACAGTACAGTTCAGAGAGCTAAACGTATAAGCCAGAATCTGTCATCTTCATCTACAACTCACACCTTACCATGATTATGTTTTTTCCGCCATTTACCTGTGTGATATGGAGAAAAAAACCCGCATATTTAAGTGTAATTTAATCTACACATGCTGTATGAAAACATTCTTGACATAGGCCCTAAATCATAATAATTTTCATTTTTTCAGCACCCATCTTGTAAACGATCATGGTTGCTGACCACGTGACAAAGGTAACATCCAATCAACGATGTTAGAAATGTCACATGCTTGTAAAATGACAATCGTCGAATTTTCGAGTTTAAAGGGCCAATCCCGATACTTTTTTGGGGAATAAAACGGGCCCGACTAATCACCGGAATTCACCGGAATTCATTTACAATCACCGGAATTCACATACAATCACCGGAATTCACATACAATCACCGGAATTCACTTCGAAAAACCCCGATTCCTCCCACAAAACTAATTTATTTTAAATGTATAATACATTATAATGTAACGAATTACTATTTTGATATCTCCACAGGCCAAATAAAGGCCCTGTGTGTGTATTTATTTGAAAGACTACCGGAATTAATTTCAAATATATGCATCATGGTTATGATAACGTGCGCGTCGTATTACCCAATAGGCCGAACTCCAAAATAACACTAAAAAACAATTTGCGTCGAGTTACCCAATAACTCCAAAATAACAACCAATAACTTCAAAAATATTGACTGTGGAAACACAAAATAACAATTTAGTATGAGTTTAAGAAGCGTGACTGGTTTTTTTCCAAATCGGAGGTTCACGGGAGATAACTCGTGTATGTGATTTTTGTTGACAAGAAACTTATGTTAACTTACGTTGCAATTCGTTGTAATGTATTGTAATTAGAGATTGATTAATAATTCTTTTGTTATGATAGTATATTATGTTGTGATTGTATGTGATTTGTCACTTTATACAATGACAATATTTACATTTAATATGATTTGTAAATCCGATATTTTGACCATTAAAGGGAGATTACTCGACATGTGTGGAGAAAATCTCGTAACTCGTCATATTTGAGATGTTTTAAAACAATTATGTGTAGAACCTATTTGTAATTCATCAAAAAGCCTCTTTTATCAGCATTTACGTCCTAATTTTAACATACAATATTATTTGACCAAATCCATACACCGGAATTCACTTTGGAGATATCAGAATTCGCCCGTACAATCTTCCTATTTACTTATATTTTCCATTAATATTTATATTAAATTTAAAACACATAAAATCACCGGAATTCACATTGAAAACATACAAACACCGGGATTCACTTTCAACATATCTGAATTCGCACTGAAGACCTTCGTATTTACTAATATTTTACATTAATAATAAATTACTTTCAATCACCGGGATTCACTTTGAAAACATATAAACATCGGAATTCACTTTCAACATATCGGAAATCGCACTTAAGACCTTCGTTTTTACTAATATTTTACATTAATAATAAATTACTTTTAAACACCGAAAATCACTGGAATTCACATTGAAAACATATAAACACCGGAATTCACTTTCAAATATCGGAATTCGCACTTCAGACCTTCGTACTCGATCACAAATATTTTACAGTAATAATAAATTACTTTAAAACACCGGAATTCACTTACAAAATATCTGAATTCCCATATTAGACCTTCATATTTACTAATATTTTACATAAATCAAAAATTACTTTAAAACACCGGAATTCACTTTGAGAAAATCGGTATTTGCCCCAAGACAATTGTATTTACTTATATTTTGGATTAATATTAATACTAGAATGTATCTGCTGTAACGATATTTCCGGATGGTCAACTCGGGGTAACACAATAAAAACACGGCAGTAATCCATGTAAAATGTCAAACCGAACATTTCTCGAATGAAGATGAGCTAAGCTTATTCGAAAATTAACTTAGTAATAATCAACCAATCAAATAATTATAAAGTCTCATCAATAATGGTTTGGATGTTTTCATAGATAATCGGTTGTAGCATGAAGCAGTCCAGATTAAATGAAGTGTAATTTTAATAATATGTCAATAGTAGGCATATAGAATGTTCACCAGTTCATTGTCATTGTAAAATGTGACAAATCACATACAATCACACCTCCAAAAAACATAACAAATTATAATAACATGAGAATGAGAATTTATTTATTTCTAAACAAGTTACGATGTCGATGACCGAAAGTGACAATCGGCGCAATTTGCAATTATAAATAAATAAATATAGCTATAGCTATAATATTAAATTGTTTATTTTAATAAACTATTATCAATCTTTTATTACAATACATTACAACGAATTGCAACGAAAGTATACATTAGTTTCTTGTCAACAAAAATCACATACACGTGTTATCTCCCGTGAACCTCCGATTTGGGCACAAATCAGCGAGGCTTCTTAAATTCAACTAAATTGTTATATTGTGTTTCCACAGTCAACATTTTTGGGGTTATTGGCTGTTATTTTGGAGTTATTGGGTAATTCCACGCAAATTGTTATTATGTGTTATTTTGGAGTTCGGCCTATTGGGTAATACGACGCGCCCTACGTTATCATAATCATGATGCATATATTTGAAATGAATTCCGGTAGTCTTTCAAATAAATTCACCTACAGCGCCTTTTTCTGGCCTGCGGAGAGATCAAAATGTATTATACATTTAAAATAAGTGAGTTTTGTGTGAGGAATCGGGGATTTTAGAAGTGAATTCCGGTGATTAGTCTACCCGAATAAAACTGCTTAATTTTGTGTTAAAATCCCTGAAAATCGTCTACCTAAGGGCCGAGCAACTAACTCAATATTCGTGATACTTCTCAAACAACTCAAAAACGTCAGTCTTCATCTGGAAATGGGGACCGGTGTCTCAATATGTATTATGCGGTATCTGGTTAAAATAAGATTTTTTTTAATAAAAATAATGTGTTGGTGAAATTTAAATTCGTTATCAAGTACAGCACGTGGGTCGTGCACTGTATAGACCTCTCAAGGAAGGGAATCGATCATCAAGTCACCCAACGAAAAAATTGACCCGAAATCTTAAAAGGGTTACGTGCTCGGATAAGCAGTTTTAACGATCACGTCCAAACGACTAAATATTTTGAGCTGAAATTTTGAGACAAGGTAAATACACCATTCCTCTATATTTTGGCGCTTAAATTTCATACGTACTCGGACATTTATTTTTGAGTCTCTGTTCAAATCGGGATAGTGCCTTTAAAGGACAATATTGGTGCGAGTCATTATCACATATGTGATAGAGCTGGTTAAACACATTCCGAATATAATTTTAACACCGAGATCATTGCTACAATAGCTGAGTAATACAGGTTTCCTGAATCGGAAGTGACGAAAAGTACGCCAAAGGAAAACATGAGTGTGACGAGTGATAACGGATTACAGGCGAATTTCTGCTCACTAATAATTCCTGCGAAGACCAAAAGTTGTTGTGTGAGATTGTGAGAGGATATCTGACAATTCATAAAAAGAATTGATTGCCAATAGATACACGAAAGAAGTACAGAACAAGTCTAGAAACATGCGTGGCTAGAAACATACGTCGCTCGTAGCTCGTCTGTGGCAAAACATAAACTAAGAAAAATTGTGACTGGTAGTGGCAATAAATTGTGTATAGGCAGGCAGTTCGGACCTCAAAGCACACAATTTTTCGCCTCCTCGTGAAAAATCCTTGAAATTAGAGAAAGATTCATAGTAAAACGTGTTGAACCTAGAGGCAGCCATTTTGTTTCAATTGGCGAACACTATCGACAAGACTGTCGAGCGTTGTCTGCAACAATTAAAGTATACAGTACAGTAGATAGGCTATATGACCATTGGCAGTGGCAATTAGGCAGTGCATCCTCAGTAAAACGTGTGGTGACCGTACTGCACAGTGTAACCTACTTTGATATAGGCTTGTTTAGTAGTGGTGAACAGTACAGTTGCACATGATAGAGTCATAGACAGTGCATACACACATCCACCAAACAGCGGTGAGTGACACGACATGAACGAACTTGCAGCTCCCGGTGGAGGTGGAGTTGGCGGCGGAAGAAGAGGGTCAGGGACTGGTAATGACACGTGGCACCAAACTAGAGTTTTACCAAATTCAGTTGTAATGTCCTTTGTATATATTTCGTTGTATAGCTGATAAAACTTTCCGACGTTTTGTCCAGCGAGAGCAAGAAACATATTTTGCTATGACACACATTGAAAATGTAAATAGTCACCTTTCTTGAATTGACATCATTCTTGTATCAGAGTTTGCCAATATTTTCAAAATAACTGAAAAAAAAAACATCCATTCAAATCCATCCTCATATTATTACAAAACTTTTATATAAGTACTTTGATGCAATATACATATATGATCAAGTCAGTTAAGTAACAGATATAGCCTTTATAGGTCAAAGCAAACATTTTCAAAATATAGAAACTTTCATTTCAGTTTATTTTGTCGAAAAATTGAGTGATACTCCAAAAACCATCAAGCATATTACTAGTATAGGAAGGATGGGACAAATTTACCTTTGATTAAATTTTGTGAACTGATTGCAGAGATGTGTACCACTTTGGTCTGTTTTTTGTTAGTACTAACTTCTAACTGCTATACACATATACTTCTGCATTTCAGAATCTAAAATCAAGCCAATGACCAATTTAACAGACTAAATTGGTTTTTAGGATGGCGCGCTGACAGGTATTCACGGTTGACTTGATGAACTCTGCTGTATGGTCATATATTATATAATTTGAGTACAGAATCTGCTATAGTCATCAAAATCTCAATAGCAAGATACCATCCAGCCAGGCTGTATTCATAATAAATTTTAGTAGAAACCGGTCCTGATTTCTTTGAACTTTTTCTTTAAAGAAAAATGTATTACGATTCTTTTGCTTTAAAGCTCTACAGAGACGGGCCTTTATTTTGAATGGTAGAGTGAAGTACATATTTCTTAAAATGAAAATATGTATCACAATTTCATTCATAAACAAACTCTATTTTTTATTCATGGTAAACTTATTATAGTCTGTGATAAGGAGAATTCTGCTGTGATCTGTTTAATCTCTGCAAAGTATATATTAGTGCACCACTTAATTCTATAGTAAGCTAAAATATTAATAAAAGATGTCCAAATTGTTTGGATTTTAATTTTATTTAAAATATAAAACAAATTTCAGTACGCAGTAGAATAAATCATCTA